GCAAAGAATCCACCACAGATTTAAAGAGTAGCACACAAATTAATGCTTAAGAAATATTAAGAAGGTGAAAAATTGTTCTACTTATGGGTATTTTGTCAAACTTATATAAAGAGTCAGAGTAGATATTAGCAAAGACAGGGAAATTAAAGGACTGTCATTAATTTATAAAGAAGAATGTTAATTAAAACCTGTAAGGAATCTTGGAAAAATTACTTCTGTTATTTATTTCAAGAAATCTTTTGAACTGCTAATGAGAACATTTGGATTATCTCAGGAATAATTGCCTTGGTACTTATTGTATCAAATAATGAATTTGGAAAGTTAAGGAGAGTGAGGGAGATTAGTTACAAATGAAAGAGAATATAACTCCATGAAATAAGAAATTGACAAATAAAACTAGATTAAGCTTAGGCTTAGGTAAATAAAAGGGATAATAAAACTTAGATTCTTTGAAAAATATTTATGAATCCACAATTATAATGGCATCTATAAAGGTACACCAAACACAGTTCATCGCAATTACTCCTTAAAATATCTATAGACTCAGACAAGAATAACAGAAGGAAAAATGGGGGAGACCAACAAATACTATGGTTAAAGAGCAGGCTGTCTTTGTAGAATCAAGAAACATTTTGCTTCTTCCACTAATTGTGAAGCCAATGAAGTTTTAACAAAAGCACAATAGATGCACCATCCTTGTCATGTTGACCTTGGACTCATGTAAAATGCTGTTTAGTTCACAAGTACAGCGTTTACCAAGGAACAATCCAGGGTGCCTGAGAAAGCATGAGGCAGAGCTAAGGATTCCTGCCCTGGTCTCTCTTCCCTGCATTCATTTGTTTAGCAGCTGACAGAACAGAACTGGGCAGAAGGAGCGAGAAGAGAATAGATGGTCTTGAGTGCATAATTGGACTTTAGCACATTGATGATAAAAAGAAATGATCTAACCTCACTATATCCTTGACTATGCTTCTCCTCACATCCTGTACTTCAAGTCAGAGAGCATGGCCAAAAAGGAAGACCCCTGGGAGTTCAGCAGAGTCATCCTAAGGGGGAGATTGGGAGGGATTGCCGCTTTGCTGTTGTCTGTGTCTGATACCTGGATATCCAGTTCTGACTCGGAAGAGATTCACCCAACACAAAGCCTGGTAAATTGAGACTGAGAGTAATTCTAATGCACAGGGGGTTGACACAATATGATCTGAATAGATCTTCCTTCAAAGGAGAATCAATGAAAAAATAGAAACTACTTCAAACTACCATAAAGACAATGGGCTAGTAGTGAGACACTGCATTATCGGAGAATTGTTTTAAAAACCAGAAAAAGTTATTTCATAGAAAACTACTGGCTACGGAGTCATTTAATCTAGTGGTTAAGATATTGTTGAGATATCTGTGTCCCACATTAGAGTATTTGGGTTTATTTTCTGGCTCTGACTACCAATTCTAGCTTCCTACTAATGAATACCCTGGGATCCAGCAATGATGGCTCAAGTAATGGGCTTCCTGCCACTTACTTGGGAGATTTGGATTGAGTTCCTGGCTCCTGGCTTTGTCCTGGCACCAGGCCTGGCTATTGTACTTGGGGAATGAAAAAGTGAATGAAAACTCTCTCTTTCACTATCTCCCTGAAATTTTTTTATTTAAAAAAGTTCAATGGCAGAATTAAAACCATAATTGGAAGCAATAGAACACACATTTAACTTTCAAAAGGCCAACCTGAGATGATGCAAAGGATATTTAGAGAAAGGTGTAGAAAATAAAGAAAAATGAGTAAGATAAATGACAGGCTGGTGATCAGGGAGAAGCTTGTGAATTACAGATACACCTGTAAAACATGGTAGAACAAATGAAACAGATGAGTCAGCAAAGAGTATTTTGTGCGGAAGAGGCACAATGTCAATGTTTTTGGGTTCCAGTTCTGAGTAGACCTTTTTGATTTTCCATTTTCTTTCAGATGTATTGCATTCACTAAATGTATATAAATACACTGTACTAACTGTATTCAATACAGTGTCACAGAGTATTGTAGATGCGGAGCATTTTATCCTTCAACTGCTCCAAAATCCTTCCCATAAAAAACACTTGGTGTGGAGAAACAGTTTACTCCTTAACCTTCTTTCTAGGCCAGACACCAGAGATCCATTTTAATCATTTTTCCAAGGCGCTTATCCTCTCTGGCAGCCTTCTGTGATAACACAACATCTTCTGTAAGAGATGGGTACTAAACTGAATATGTTAGCGCATTTATACATCTGAGATGCACACTGGTAAATGTGTTACTTCTATTTCTTGCACATAAATCTCCTTTCATAGGCTTGCTGTTCGATACTGATATGCCAAAAGTTTTAGAATAAGTATCAATATTCATGGAAGATGACTCTAGAATATTTTTGTCTGGAGATTTTTTAAGTCATGGTAAGTTATATACAACATAAAACTTACTCTTAGACTCATTTTTAAGTGTACAGTTCTGTTTCATTAAGGACATTCATATTTTTGGACTGCCCTCACAACCATCTATCTCTAGAAACATTTTCATCTTCCAAAGCCAAAATCTCTATCTGTTAAATAACCACCGTCCTCTGCTTTCTTCTCCTTGTTACTAATAGCCACCATTCTGTTTCCTTCTTTGCAAAACTGACTACTCTCAATACTTCATATAAGTGGAATCACACAGTATTTACCTTTTTCTTTTTTAAAATTTCTTGATTTATTTGAAAGAGTTATACAGAGAGAAGAGAGGCAGAGAGAGAGAGAGAGAGGTGTCTTCCATCTGATGATTCACTCCCCAGTTGGCCACAACGGCCAGAGCTGTGCCGATCCGAAGCCAGGAGCCAGGAGTTTCTTCCAGGTCTCTCATGTGGGTGCAGAGGCCCAAGGACTTGGGCCATCTTCCACTGCTTTCCCAGGCCACAGCAGAGAGCTGGATGGGAAGTGGAGAAGCCAGTCTCGAACCGGTGCCTATATGGGATGCTGGCGCTTCGGGCCAGGGTATTACCCTGCTGTGCCACAGCGCCAGCCCCAGTATTTACCTTTTACAACTGGCTTATTTCACTTGGCATCATGTCTTCAAGGAGAATCCATATAATAGCCTGTGATAAGATATTCTTAATTTTTAAATTCTAAATAGATATTTTTTGTTATTAAGAATAATCTCTGTGAACATGGCTTTCTGAACATTTGTTTTGGTGTCTGCTTTCAATTATTTTGGGAATATACTGAGAAGTACAATTACTGGATCATGTGGTAATGTGTGTCTAATTTTTAAAAATATTTTGTTGATTGATTTGGCAGAGTGATTCTGCAGGAGGAGAGAGAAATCCTTCTATTCCATTCACTGGTTTACTACCCAAATGTCTGTAAAAGTCAGGCACCAGGAATGTCATCCAATTGTCTCTCATACGTAGCATGGACCCAAGTTTTCAGTCCATCATCTGCTGTCTTCGAAGGTGCAGTAACAGGAAGCTGGATCATAAGTTGAGGATCTGGGACTTGGTAACACTCTGATATTGGATGTGGGTGTCCCAAGCAGCAGCTTAATTTGCTCTGTCATAACACATGCTCCTGTATCTTTAATTTTGAGGAACTGCCATACCTTTTCTAGAGACTATACCACTTTACTTCCCCATTCTTCATTAACAGAGGTTCCAATTCTCCACTTCCTTTAAACTCCCCATTGTAATGCATTGCCTTTAAACAACAGATCATTGAATAAGTCTCTGCTTGCTCAAGAGAGTTAGTAGAATTTTTGCTATAACATGACTACAAGGAATAGATTACAGAAGCAAGTGTTTGATGCAATGCTTAAGACGTTGCTTGGGACACATGCACGCCATATTGGAATGCCTGAGTTCAATTTATGGCTACGCTCTAAATTCCAGTTTCCTGCTAATGTGCACCATGGGAAGGCAGCAGCTGATAGCTCAATTACTGGGTCCTTGCCACCCCTGTCAGAGACCTGGATTAAGTTCCTGGTTTCTAGCTTCAAGTTTGCCCAGTACTGGGTGTTCTGGCATTTGGGAAATGAATTAATAGATGGGAGATTGCTTTCTTCCTGTCTTGATCTTTCTCTCCCTTCTTGTGTGCATGCCCCCTCCCTGCACTGTCTTTCAAAAGAATTAAAAGCCAATGAATTACATGCCAAAGTTAATCTTCTTACTCTTACATCTGCATAATATTATATGTGCCCCCACTTTCTGCTGTGACAGTGTAAGACCGAATTATCTGTAAAATGGTGAGACTATTTCACTGATTCACTGTTGGTGTGTTGCCTTAGGTGAATTAGCCAGAAACAAACCCTGCCACGAAGATTGACGTGAAAGTGATTTATTATGAAATACTCTCTGGAGAAACTAAAAGAGAAGGGGGAAAGTGAAAAAGGGAAAGGAGGCAATTGTAATCTCATGGGTGCACACTCATGGCTGTACTCTCATGGCTGCATTCTCATGTATGCACACTCATGGAGGTGCATTCTCAAGGGCATGCACACTTATGCTGGCATATTCATGGACAGGCATTATTATGGGAGTACACTATCATGGGTGCACCATTGTGGACATACTTTAAAGGGGGTGCCCTATCGCAGGTGCCCTCTCGTCAGTGTAATACCTCCATGGTGTCAGTTTGGCCCAGTCCTTATGAGGAGGCGAATTGGGACACACAACTGAGTTGTCTCCCACCAGAGGTAAAAGGAGATGGAATATTTACCTACTGCTGGTGAGGTTAGAATCAGAGGTTTCTGTCTTTTGTGTATGACGGCAAAGCAAGTTCTGGCAGCCTAAAAAGACACAGGTATTAACTGTGGGAGAGGAGAGGGGAGCTTGGAACATACTGGAAGTGTTCATGAAAATGGTGTGAGGATCCAAGGAAATATGGCAGAGTACTGGTAACTTCTACTATAAATGTTAATAAAAGGATAAATACAGGTAGGCTGGATTTGGGTAGGGGGTGGATGTGGTAGAATCACTCATTTATGATAAATAACAAGAAGAAAGGACTTTGTATCAAAACTTTATTTATTAAACAAAAAATGCACCATTGGAATAACATTTCTATAAAAAATGAATATGAGACTGTTCTACAGTGATTACAAAACCCCCTTTCCTTATGTAGTAGTATACAAGATCAAGTGTAGAAACAGTCATTGTTTTAAACTGTAAGCAAGTGTCCTTTCTCATAGAACAAAATTTACACTTAAATATTGCAATCACTAGTCTAATTTGGTTAACAATGCTAGAATCTGACAATTTAAAGAAACTCTTTGTAGGCTCAAAATACCTTTTTAAAGGTGTTTTGTAACAACAAAAAATTTCTTTTTCCACTAAGGCTAGTTAAAGCTGTAGTATACCCATTTCTACCAAATAAACTTATCACTAGCACACTAACAATTTGAATTGCAAAGCCCTTTGGGAAAATGGATAGCATTGATCTTCTAAATGCTATCAGAATTACTTTAGGTTCGGTGTTATCTTCTTTGAACCACCCTAGAAAGGGAGACAACGTTGATGATGGAACTTCGGTGAAGGCTTTGCCTGGACTGGACTTATCCTCCTCGTAGTCAGCAATGGACAATTCATTTGCAAAGTGGTCCCTCTCAGATATGGAACACTGCAGCTTTAACAGCCATATCTTGATCCCAAGCAGACCTCCCTTTCATCATAAATTATCCAAAAAGAAGCCACTCTAAATAATAAATTAAATATTACTTATAAAAAGTACACCCCATACCCACCCACCCTTCCCCCAAACAAGCTGACAATTCACAAAGTTCAGAATTGTCAGGTTTACCCTACAATAATAAAAAACAGCATTTCTCCTCCTCTCCAACATTCCTCTCTTGCATCTGAAAATACACCTCCAGCACACAGTGAGATCCCTGGCCCATGTATCAGTGTTTGTGACATCCTGTGGAATTTTACTGTTGCTGTCCTATCAACCAAAATTGTAGGTGACAGTGTACAAAGGCTCTCTTCTGAGAGCAGGAGAAAAAAGTCCTTCAGAGTGCGACTGGAAGTCAGCTAAGTGAACATGACCCATTGGTGGCAAAAGAGAACCCAGGTCCAAAGTAATATTCTTTGGCTGGTATGAACATGGTATGTCCTACACAACCACACTGACCAGGAAATACTCAGGCATTTCTTTTCAGAGTCAATACTTTTTAGAAGCAGGGACTTGGGCAGCAAAGTTCACTGATATATTTTTTAGTGGAATGGAATATCATGCAAAACAATTATTATGGTGTTCCAGACTATCCAATTTTATTGACAAAAGTGGATTCAAGTGAAAAGCTATTGTGTGAAATAGTAAAATGATGTCTGAAAATCACTACAGGAGTGCAAATTATGAACAAAATGTTACTTGACTATGATTTGAAAAGAGTGAAGATTTGAGTGTGGAACTGCTGTACTTTTGCATTGTTGTGGGCTCTGTATTGTGCATATGGTGATGGACAGGCTGGGACGCTCCCCTCCATCCTTCAGGACGGCCTGTGGGTGTTTACATGAAATGAACTGAGTAGGTATGGAAAGCAATCTTGCCTCATTATTCATTTTAAAGATTACATTGTTGTTTTGCTTTAAATCTAGGGGCTTCTTCTAGTCCCCCCCCCCCTTTTTTTTACTAGAAAGAACATTCCAGAACTGCAAGAGATCTGGGTCTGGAATACAATATTACTAAAATGGTAAATTGATCTTAAAGGCAATTTTTCTTGGAACTATATATATATATATATATATATATTCTCCAGCTGCCAGATCTAAGATGCTATATTAAGTTTAGAGATGCACTTAAGATACTTATTTAATCAAAGTCAACAGAAATACCCAAAAGGTGGATAAGTATCACGAACTATAGTCAAGTCTAGACTCGGATGGCTTCTAGGCAGATCTGCACTTAAAAGAGTCTCAGTTGGAAAAGCTAAACAGTGCCAAACAGAATGTTGTCTGGAACCTCACACTATTGCTGGAAGTCTCTCCTTTTGAAGTTGCTACCAAAGCAGGAGATTGAAAATACCCTTCATTTTTTAACAATCCTTTTTTTGCAGAAACTAATGTTATAACTAACCATTGAAAGGGAACCTTATAAAACCACCTCTTATATGACTGGCCTAGTTTCTGTTTTTCAGATTGTTTAATAGAGTGTGCATTGTGTAATACACAGGTGCAAAGCTACGGTCTTTAACATTATTTAAATATTCTAGAAGTCTATATATCTGTTGCACAAGGAAGCTGCTATGACTGGCTTCTTATTGAATATGAATCGCCAAGAAATATTAACTTTTGGCTAGAATTTATACAAATATTCTTTAAACATTGTGAGCTATCTGCATTTTTGTGAGTTTAACAAATGCAGAAATTTCTAGAGCAACAAAAATAGCTTTCCCATCAGAATGAAATATAAAGAAATATACCAAACTTTTTCAAAAGGAGGTTCTTGCCTGACAGACTAGCACAGTGCAGTGGAGGCTTGAGCATGCCCTGCCAAATTTGATTTCTTCTTTTTCCAGGAGAAATGAGTCCTGGAGGCAGAGCTGCTGGTTGGCTGTCAAGCATTGCTCCATGGGATTCGGAGAGATTTATGAGCTTAAAGAGCCTTGCATGCCGTGAACTAGGCTTGGAGTAAGAGCAATACATAAGAGTTTCCTTGCCGTATTCACAGATTCCTTATTTTCAAGATTTCAGGATATTGGGAAATCATAAAGTTAACCAAAATCTGGGGAAGGTAGTCATATACATTTATGATCATTTGAGGGAGAAAAGAACAGAGATATGCAAAAAGTTAGACTGGTTGGGTGAAGTCACTGCACATCAAACCCAGCAAGTAAATGACAATAGAGTTTCTTTGAAGATATTGAAGTAGATTCTACTATATATTCAAGGCATGGCAGTAAGACTTATTAGCATTCCAAATTACTGAAATATACCATTGTATTTGTTTAACGAAGAAAGTTTCAAGAGCATGCAGCAGAAATAGCACTCCCACTGAAAGTGAATGCTGTGTGTTTCCTATGAATTTTCAAAAAACTTGCCCTTTTTAAAATCACTAACTTTGAAGGGTCTAGAATTTTGCAAAAATGTTAACTTTGTTGGTTGTCCAACTGCATTCTACAGATTGATGTTCTGACTTAATCCCCAAAATGTAACATTTGCAGCCCGTGCCAAATTGAGGTGCAAGATGATCTACCCTGGATTCCAAATATCTTGAGAGAATGTTTTTCATTGATAAACACTGGAAAGGGGCAGCTATTCTGGGGCCTGAAGAGAGTTTAACTTAATGATATTTTCTCTTTTTGAAGCAATTGGTTAATTCTCAAGGATTCCATATCATGTTAGGAAATGCCTTATTTAAGGTCAATGGATGGTTGTCTATGTGCCGAGATGCCAAACGAGAGTAATCCATGCCATTGAATAATGTCACATAGCTCTTTGAAAGGACTTCCAGAAAATCTAAGTAAATTGAACAAGCACTCTTGTTGAAGGAACAGTTTTGCAAATGGACCGGACTTTCTAATGAACCATTTGAACAAGCCCTCTCTTTGACAACAGATTTCCTTCCAGACATAAAACTGTAAAAAAATAATCTGAATTATTACTTCTGTTACAGTGCCATTTTGCTCAAAATATTTCATTCGGGGATTCATATATAATTACCCACCTAATAAAAGGAGCTATTAGGTTGTAAAGATCCTATCCCTTCCATGCTCTTTTAAAATTATGACCTACTCAAGCTTGAAATCAAAGGCAGAGCTGAAAGGACTAATTCAGCTGAAACTCTCATTGGGTTTTCAAGTCACCTAAATGATAAATATGCAAACTAGCTTCCTTTTGGCGATACAGCTGCATAAACTGGGATTAACTCCAAATGCAGCTGAAAATTCAGAAAATAAAAGCGTACACACAAAATGTTCTTAATTTCAGCTAGTTCCAAGCTGTAGAATAAACATAGCAATAGAAGTTTAACATTTTGCCCACAGTTTAAGAATCTGCTTTGAAAAGCATCCACTGGATTTATGACGTGCCACGAGTGTCAGGTGGCACTTTTTCTCCCACTCCTCCTTGACTCTGGAACAAGCATGGTGTGGAGGGTTCCCTTGGCAGCAAGGCCTGGGCATCAGCACTCATCCGTGCTACTCAGTCTAGGACACTGCAGGTGGAACTGGCATTACCCAAGAGAAGGTGCTTTTGGAAACTGTCTTCTCTTCTCCTTCCCTTCCTCAGGGCATGCTCTTAGGGAGTCTGCCTCTTCCTTCTGGGGTTCTGAGGACACTGGCTGAGAGGCCACACACTGTGTGGGGACAAGCCACATCACCCAACGCTAGTTTCCAAGGAGAACTAAGGGAGGTATGGGGCTAAGGGGCAGGGGGCACTCCTAGCCAGTCTCCTGAGGAAGATGCCCATGCGGAAGCTTTGAGATGTCATCACAGTGTGGGATGGCAGAGAAGCCACCCAAAGTGAAAAGTGTCCTATTACAAGCTTAAGCACATAATTACCATGTGTCTAGGAAGATTGCATATTGTATCTTCTTTCTGGAAATGAACTGCTGCTGGCAGGATGCCATTAGTTGCAGATTTTTATGTTCCTGTACTCTAGACATAAATGCTAACGAATGGTGGATTTACAGATACTTGCTAAAATGGGTGATTTTCTACAGCCACTTGCTAATATATGCTGCTTCTGCAAGATGAATGACTGAGTTACAAACATAGGCATTCACTGCCTTGTGTTTGTTTACTTATTTACTTTTTGTGCTGTCAGGAAAACATCCAATCCTTTGGTGCTATGGAGTGAGAGAATTCCTACGGGTGCTTTGTAATTTAAAGATGAAAACAAAACAGTGAGCTGCTTGCACTAGTTGGCCATGGCCATGGTATGGGCTTAAATAATGCACTTGCATTTTGTAAGACTAGACCTACACACAAAACAACAGGCCTTGATGAAGAAGGAAAATATGGGCATTCACTATGACAGTGACGTCACTGCAGTGGCAAAGACCCAGGACTATTCTAGCAGCTTGTCAGCCTTGACATTGCAGTGAAAATGCATTCTTGCTTGTTTTTAGGGACCTCATAGTCTTCAATTTACAATTCCTGATGCCTATAAAAGAAGGGATGCGTATTCCTTCTGGACTGCTTCAAGATCTTCCTGTACTGAGTGGCCGTGGTGATTGACCTGTCTAGTGGTTAGAGTTCGTGGACACAGGTGTGCTGCTTATGAATAACTGGTATGTTGCGAAATTCCTGGCATAGTCACCTCCTCAGCTGGGCAATGCATGTTAAAAGGCTGAGCCTGTGATGGCATTAAGTTGCTTCATTAGCCCTTCTAAACTTGCCATTTGTTCACTCAAATCATCCTGCTCATAGACCTGTAGAGAGAAAGAGAGCAAACAATCAGTAGCAAACATTGACACATTCATTTTATCAAGGCAGATACCACAGCTAGTTGAGTCACTCAGTATTCTCAAGTGTGACACAGTGGCCCATAGCCAGAGCTATTCCCATAGCTTATTTATTGCATAAAAATGCTAATAGTAAACGAGATAGTGGTGACTACATATTGTTCCATCAATTTTTAAATTGATAAGGACAAAGTTTCAGACTGAAAAAGATCTTGTTGCAAATCAAGAGATATCATTAGTTCTGTGGTCTTAGGCAAGTTAGTAAACCTGTCTGATGTGTGGTTTTCCTTATCTAGGAAATGATGTAAGAGATACCTGTGTCCAAGCCATTCCGAGCAGACTCTGCCATGCTTAGGGTCTATCCCATATCTGGCACAGGGTCCATTTTCAATACACTGATTCCTTTTCTTTTTGAAAGTCTATCCATCAGTATGAATAGAATTCCCTCCACCAGCCTGTTTTCTTGTAATATGACATAAGTATTTGTGTGAGTGTATAAAATGGGAGGTTTGATGGGTTCTTCCTTGACAAGTGAAAGCTCCAGAAATTACCACTTTTGTTAATAAATGGAAGCAAATTTAACGCCTGAAACTGGAGTTAGAGCTAGCCATAAATATGAAGGGACTCTTGCAACATGATTTTAATGGTAAATAAGAGATTAAACTGTAGGGGCCGGTGCCATGGCTCACTTGGTTAATCCTCCGCCTGTGGTGCCGGCATCCCATATGGGTGCCGGGTTCTAGTCCTGGTAGCTCCTCTTCCAGTCCAGCTCTCTGCTGTGGCCTGGGAAGGCAGTGGAGGATGGCCCAAGTGCTTGGGCCCCTGCACCCGCATGGGAGACCAGGAAGAAGCACCTGGCTCCTGGCTTTGGATTGGCGTAGCTCTGGCCGTAGCGGCCATTTATGGGGTGAACCAACAGAAGGAAGACCCTTCTCTCTGTCTCTCTCTCTCACTGTCTAACTCTGTCAAAAAAAAAAAAAAAAAGAAAGATTGAGCTGTAGAAATCTTAATGAAAACATTCTCTGTAATAGTTGCTCGCTGAGAGTCACCAACAGCATGTTATTTGTAAGTAGTAGGGCTACTAGTAATCAAAGATCTAAGGACACTAGTCTCAGGATTTCTGATTGACTATGTATAGGAAAGATCTTGACGTTCCTATTTAAAAAAAAAAAATATTCCCAGATATTCTGAGGATCAACTACACGGGGAAGTAAGGAGAAGGAGCACTAGGTTGATTTGAATTCCAATTTCTTTTACAGATTTTATTTATTTATTTGACAGGTAGAGTTACAGACAGTGTGAGAGAGAGAGAGAGAGAGAGAGAAAGGTCTTCCTTCCGTTGGTTCACTCCCCAAGTGGCCACAACTGCCAGAGCTGTGCTGATCTGAAGCCAGGAGCCAGGTGCCTCCTCCTGATCTCCCATGTGGGTGCAGGGGCCCTAGCACTTGGGCAATCCTCCACTGCTTTCCTGGGCCACAGCAGAGAGCTGGACTGGAAGAGGAGCCACCGGGACTAGAACCGGCACTCATATGGGATGCTGGCACCGTAGGCGGAGGATTAACCTAATGTGCCATGGCGCCAGCCCCTGAATTCCAATTTTTAAATATACCTGCTCTTTTTGAATCAATTTCAAATGGGAATAGCAAACTGACATCATTGAGTAGTCATAAGGATTCAACAAATCAATGCTGTGCAGTAGTGAACATTCAATTAATGTAACATTTCCTCTCTTCTCTCTTTACCTGCAGTGTGTTTTTGACTTATACAGATACATTCTTCTGGATTATTCTTGTATAATACATTCAGTTGATTAAGTGAACCAATGAAACCTAAATCATGATTTCTAGCTCTTCATAGGCCAAGAAGTATTGGCTGGTATCATGGTCAAAGATGTGCTTGAGTATGTAATCCAGCCAAATAACTCCCTTGATCTTGAGATTGCATTAATCAAATTTACTATGGGTGGATAGGCAAAAGTCACTCCAATAAATGAGGAAACAGCTCAAAATGATAGTACTAACTCATGAGCTTCCTACAGGAATTTTGGCATGCCAATGAATGACCTGGCCATAAACTATATAGTCTTAAAGACTTAAAATAGATCGAAAAGTAGCTACCTTAGCTCAAAGGCTAGTACATATGAGAGGTCTTCACAAAGTTTGTGGAAAATGAATCTTATGGAAAATTATGCATGGATTTCAAAAATTTTGAGACTAAAGTAAATCTATATTTCCATGAACTCTTTAAAGTATCCTTGTATGTAAGGATAAATTAAAGTGAGATGATTACTTGGTAACTCATTTCCAAAAATGTTTCCACTGTCTGGGTTGTATTTCTTGATTTATCTAGATCTGACTTGATCTTAGCCAAAAGGCAGAGAAGTGATGATTTATCTAGATTTCATTATACAATGTGAGGGTATGTCAAAATGTACATGAAAAATGAATTAAAAGATAAATGTGTTTTGATACTCAAAAGTTTTGAAATCACTGCACAATTTTGTCATGATCACACTTTGTATGAACTTTTTGAAGACACCTTGTGTGTGGATTTCAAAATATTTTTTCATCAAAATAAATTTGTCTTAATTCAATTATCTATGAATGTTTTGAAGTATTCCTATAGAAATAACTCCTTGCCAAATATTTATACATGTAGTAAACTTCCTTGGTTTCTATGGAGTTAAAATATTTCATTGATGTAATACTGAAAATAACAAAGTCAAGAAATACATATTCCTTTATGAAAATGAACTGATTCTTTCTTTTCAACAACCAGATTTCCAAAGAAAATATGGCAATTTTCTCTTAAAGAAAATTGGTAGTTGCATTGTTCTCAACTGAGTGATTACATGTGACCTATTCAGTGCTTGATATTGTGACAATTTTCTTTATCAATATAGCAATCTAATATTTACAAACTTGCAAAAGTCACCATTTGCACATAAAGAGGAATGATAGTTGAAAGCATGGAAGATAAATCCCCCTTTCACAATCAATGTTTGAAAAGGTTCCAAATGTAATAACACAATAGAATTTTACTCTGCTTTTTTTCATTTTTTTCTCTTTCAGTTCTCTCATTTTTCAAGCAATCTGATACATTTCTCTTAGTCTTCACTGAAATGTTTTCTCTTCAAATAGTCAGAAACACACTTTTATAAGTAGCTGGCTTTAGCCAATGTCTTTTTTTTTAAAGATTTTAGTATTTATTTGAAAGTCAGAGTTACACACAGAGAGAAGCAGAGGCAGAGAGCCAGAGAGAGAGGTTTTCCATCCACTAGTTCACTCCCCAATTGGCCACAATGGCCGGAACTGTGCCGATCTGGAGCCAGGAGCTTCTTCCTGGTCTCCCATGTCGGTGCAGGGGCCCAAGGACTTGGGCCATCTTCTACTGCTTTCCCAGGCCATAGCAGAGAGCTGGATCAGAAGTGGAGCAGCCAGGACTTGAACCAGTGCCCATACTGATGCCAGTGCTGCAGGCAGCAGCTTTCCCTGCTACGCCACGGGCCAGCCCTGCCAATGTCTTTTAATATCTCCTTTATAGTGTATTTTTGGGAGAAAGTATTTTCGACATTTTCTTTTGGGTTGTGTGTCCCAACCTTGTGGTATAGCTGGTTATGCCACTGTATACAACACTGACATCCCATAATCAGAGTGCTGGTTCCAGTCCCTACTGTTCCATTTCCGATTCAGTTTCCTGCTAATTCTCCAGGGAAGGCAGAAAATCATGGCCCAAGTGCTTGGGAACATGTGGGAGAGAGAGAGGAAGTTCTAAATTTCTGGCTTTGGCCTAGTCAAGTTTTGGTCCTCATGGCCATTTGGGGAGTGAACCAGCAAATGGAGATAGATAGATAGATAGATCAGTCTAAAAAAAGGAAAAAGTTTCACTTTTACTTTTCCATTGATTTTTATAATTTGATCACTTGTTAGGTTTTCTCTTAGTAAATAAATTTTTCTCTTCTTAAAGTTGCCCTATTTTCCAAATTTATTTCAAATTATTTCAAAATTACTCTAAATTATTTCCTCTTATTATGTTATGCATTATATATTTTCTTTATCTTTTTTTAAATCTTTATTTATTTGAAAGGCAGAGTTACATAGATAGAGGGAGAGACAAAGAGACAGATCTTCCATCTGTTGATCCATGCCCCAAATGGCCACAACAGCCAAGACTGGGTGTTGCTGAAACCAGGAGCCAGGAACTTCATTCAGGTCTCCCATGTGAGTGCAGGGGTCTAAGCACATGGGCCATCTTCTGTTGCTTTCTCAGGCAGATTCCCCGATAGCTGAATGGGAATTCAAGCAGCTGGGATACAAACTTGCACCCAAATAGGATACTGGTGCCTGCCACAGGCAGCAGCTTAAACTTCTAAGCTTCCTCTTCTTTTCTTTTGTTCTAAAGATTTGTTTATCGAAGAGATAGAGATAAAGAGAGAGATGAGGGTGGGGATCTTCCATCTATTGGTTCACTTCCCAAATGGCCACAACAGCCAGGGCTGAGCCAGGCTGAAGCTAGAAGCCAGGCATTGCATCCAAGACTCTCATGTGGGTAGCAGAAGCCCAAGCACTTGGGCCATCTTCTGCTAGCTTCCCAGGCACAATAGCAGGAAACTGGATTGGAAGCAGAGCAGCTAGGACTTGAAGATTGGGATGAGGATTAACACAATGGTGGCTTAACCCACTGTGCCACAATGTTGAACCCTCTATATATTCTTCTTATTCTTAATCCTGTGTTTATAGGTTATTTTATGTTTGTAGAGATAAAATATGTAACTGCAGAAAAATCCTTATACCCATTATATAGTCTAATTTCCAAGAATGCCAATATATTGCATTTAATTGCAAGGAAATACATATAAATATATGCATAAGCCTTTATGTGTATTTGCATATATGTATATGTTTTAAACTATGGATGTGAAGGCAAGCATTCTGTGATTGCCTGTATTTCTACGACGGCCCTTAAGTACTGATAAATTTTTAAATTTAATTAAGTCTCTGATTCAGTTTGTTCACTGAAGTTTTTTTCTCTTCATATTCAAGTGCAGGCAAACATCAAGACAAACAGCAATAAGCAACAACGGCTGGGGTTAATTCAGAGGGCTGACTGCCTCAGTCTCATTGCACAGTCCTAGTAATGCTTCCCTGAACCGGGCATGCATTTCAAGGATGCTCTTACATTAGCTGGATCCTCTGTTGGTTTGTGGCTCTCCTCAGACACTTCAGGGGCTGTTGGCACAGACACAGGAAGCAAAGGGGATCTAGCTTTTCCAGCCAATCCAAGAGAGGCTGTTTTAACGTGGGTCTTGGGAAGAGTAGGCCCTGAAATAGAAAACACAAGGTGATGTGAGGAATGGATGAATTGTCCTGGAGAACAATCTCAAGTATGTAAACCAAATCCAATAGCTGGGTATTGGCTTCAGGTTACTGTTCATTCTGTCACGTAGAGATGAGTTTTTGGCATGGCTAAGGGGATCATTTGATTTCTACTGAGTGGATGAAAAGTTCTGAATAGGTCTTTTCAGAAGAAGCTTCACCAGTCATCCGTAATTTCAAGTGGATTCCAAATCATGCTGTGGAACTCCAGATTGTGCATCCCAGCTGATAAAGGGTCAGACAAGCTCATCTGGTGCCAGTCTCAGCTGTGGGGCAGAAAGCTCTGTGCTAAGCCATCCGAATAAGTCATGGATAGTAAAACGGGACCAAAGAAGATTAGTGAAGTTAGAAGAGATGGTTGTTCTTGTCTACAAATGAACACTAGATATTTCAGTAAAACAAAATCCTTCATGGATAACCAGATAGAATTTCATTGCCAAATGTGTTTTGGAAAAAATGTGATACGTTTCTGTCCTTCTCAGGAAAGTTTGTGTCTATAAAAGAATTAATGCTCATGGAAATTGATGAACAACATTTTCTACTAGAAAACATTTCTGCCATAAACAAGGGCTGCATTTACATTTTGGGTCTGAAATTTGCCTTCTAAATCCCCCTTAGCTTGCAGTGGTTGTACAACTTTGTCTCTATAACCTGAAATAAATCTTTTAACAAAGCTTACTGGATCAACTAGCATACCTTAATAAATAAGGAGTTTTTCATTTGTAGCATGGTAACCAAAATAGAAAAGGGAGTGGAGTAAACCATATAAAGAGGTCTGTCTTCCTCAAGTTTCTTCTAAATTTTAAAAAAAGGAACATTGCTTTATTGGTACTTTGGAAAATAAAATTCTAGTTAATAAAACTTAGAGGTTAATCTACAACCAGAGAAATGGAATCATTTGTTTTTTGGGGAAAGAAGCAACACAATCGAAAAAGCCAGGAGTCTGCTTGATGCTAGTCACTGTAAATGATAAATTTTAATATAAACAGCTTTCCTCATACCATGGCTTAACATGAAATTTCTTCATGCTGTTACTTTGTCATGATTAAACTTCAGCAATAGGAAGTCCGTGATTTGAGTGATTTATCACTGGAGGGTGATCTTATATTTTTGGTAACCAGATGAGAACATATATACACGTGAATCATTTCCTTAAGAGAAGAATCAATATGCCTACTGAAGTCTAGACCAGTGTTAAATGCTTTAGTTTCATTTTAGACACAATAACAGAGTGAGGAAAAGTTTGGAATTTACAATGAGTCCAGTCTGTCTTCAGACGGTAGAGCTCCACTCTACACCAGCTGCACAATCCCTTGGTCAACTAAACCTACCTTGGCCTGTTTCATCATCTGCAAAAGGGGAATGACAATAATAATTTTAGGGACTAAACAGGATTATATATTTAAAGTAGCTGAAACTAGTGATGTGTTCAAAGAGGACTACTTAATATTTAATTATCAGAGTAATCCTGATAAGCATTATTATCTGCAGTTCGCACATGAAAATGCTAATGTGGAGTAAAATTAAGTTAACTTGCCCAAGTTCTCACAGTTAGAACAGGGCAGGCAAGGAAAAGTTTGCACATAGACCTATCTAACTACACTGAGTTAATAAAGATTTTTATCATTAATAAGTTGCCCTAACCCATGCCATTTAATTAAGGGGTTTGAGAAAGCAACAAGTAAGTGAAATGAAATCTAGTTCAAAGATTAGATGTGACCTGAGGGTTAAAACTGTTACTGGGATTTACATTTCTCCTAATTGAATTGTTGTGATTTAAAAGGAAAAAGAAAACTTTAAAATAATCTCTTCATTCAACTATTTTATTAAAATGTTAAATAGACATACATAAAATGTAACATAAATTTCATAAATTATAGTTCTTATGCTTTGAAATGAAAACATTTAGAATAAATAGAAAACCTTATAACAACAATGTACTCTGAATTCTCATTATTAAGTTTATATTATGAAAAAGACTGTTGGGCTAAAAAAGACCAAAATCACGACATGAATTTGACATTCTTGCTAGGTTACAGTCAGTTTGGGTTTATCATAATTTTTCAATACCGATGATGACACTCCCTAACTGACAGGTAACCCTGCATTCACACAGAGAACATACTATCAGCTGTTCTTCCCTGGCTGTGAACAAACCATTTAAGTTCTAAGTTTGGCTTTATGCCCTTCTCTTCAGCCTTGGATTGTGAACACACTGTTCCTGGTGCCATCTTGGTTGTCAACACACACTCCCAGGCAGGTACAAAAAACGCTGGCAGACAATGCTATCCAGTGGCCCTCCAGCTGCTCCAAAGTGTGTAACTGACACTGAATTTGAGATCTTTAGCTGAAGGCACAAAGCTTATAAGGGAATTCACAAAGTTTAATAAAAGTTTAAAGCAGAGGTGCGCTGTTGAAGCTTGAGAACTATTGAAACCTTATTTTGAGTGACTGTGCCTGAATCATGTTTGTATACTCTTCTACCAGGATCACAATGTTCTGATTAAACCTGAGTTCAGCTGCAGTCAGAGAAGCTGTGAAGACCACCAGGAACCACCTCTTCTCCTTTCCTATACTTAATAAAACAGCAGCGCTTGAACACAATTCTTTTCTATATGTATCTTTTTATACCTATCTATTATTTATTTGCACTTAGGCCCCTATGCTGTTGAAATTGACTTATTTTTAATTTTTAAGCTTTTTGTAAAAATTTTTATAGAACTTAGTGACTTCTGAAAAGTTTACAATTAAAACTTTAACAGTTTATGTGCATGCACATATTGAAAATCAGTTTACTGTAACATGGGTAGCTACAAAGAAAAAATGTTTCTATAGGAAAAAATAAATGGCATTGGGATAACTTTTTCCTTAGAAAATTCAAATATGGCTAGCGACTGTTTTGCTCTAGGAGGCAAACAGGAATAAAGTTTCTTGTAGACTTTACTAGACTTTGCATTTTGCTACCTAATATTTGTTTTATTAGATATTCTCGGTAGTTTTGCAAGTACAGATCATGGATCCTTAGGCATGGCCCCTAATTATTGCTATAGAAATGCATTCTTATTTCAAAAAGCTTCAAATGCATTCTTTGCCCAGGATTCTAACACTTGGCCAGATCTAGAGGGTATTAAATTGAACTTGTATATTCACACTATTATAAGAACACACATTTGTCTAAAATGCACCATAAGTTAAACCCATTACAAAGATTATTATAATAGTTTGTTTTTTATTTTGCTCCAGCGATAGTCGCATGTTCAGAATTTACTGGTTGTCGAACAATGTTCAAGACACCGTGAGCCTTACAAAATAAATCAAAGACATTGTCTCGGCTCAGAGATCACACAGTGTTTAAACCTCAAGTGACTGCCTTTTCTCAAGTAATGTTCACGGAATCACAGACGCTGAGAATGCTGGACCCTCGGGGGCTCTTGGAACTCACTGAGTGATGCTTTTCTTTATTTTGTTGAAGAACACATTGAGGTCCCTGAAGATCTAGAGATCAAGGTAGAATTAATTTCAATACAATTCTAGTTGTGGCAGAGAATTTGAATAGTCTCCCAGAGTTCACTATTAACAGGATTTGACTGAAGTACTGGATGGCCTTAAATGTTTTTCTTTCATTTTCCTGAAAGGGGAGTTAAAGGATTATGAGAGACATTTCTCAGGAGAGATTTATTAATAGTTAATTAGAGCCCGCGCTGCGGCTCACTAGGCTAATCCTCCATCTAGTGGCGCCGGCACACCGGGTTCTAGTCCCGGTTGGGGCGCCAGATTCTGTCCCGGTTGCCCCTCTTCCAGGCCAGCTCTCTGCTGTGGCCAGGGAAGGCAGTGGAGGATGGCCCAAGTGCTTGGGCCCTGCACCCCATGGGAGACCAGGAGAAGCACCTGGCTCCTGGCTTCGGATCAGCGCAGTGTGCCGGCCGCTGCGTGCCAGCTGTGGCGGCCATTGGAGGGTGAACCAACGGCAAAAGGAAGACCTTTCTCTCTTTCTCTCACTATCCACTCTGCCTGTCAAAAAAAAAAAAAAAAAATAGTTAATTAGAAAAGTTGGTCTCCAAACTGTCCTTTAGTAAAGGAGAAAAGCAGTTTTAAAGTGGAGATTCCCATGCAGACCTCCTGTGCTCAGCGCTGATGCCTTGCTCTTCATGGGCATGAACTCTGCCCTTACACTATTTGTATTTGTACAGAGTCACTGTTGTGTACACTGAACCTCAGGTGTTGTAAATCCGGGTCCCTACAGGCTCACCAAGCTTTGCTTTTTTCATTCCTTATGGACTTGATGCTCTCCAGGTGTAACTGGTTTTTTTTCTTGATTTCCTAGTCTTTACCCTTTTAGTCTTCTGTGGGGTTATAAGACAAGCTTTTAATCCTTTGCCTCATGCCAAAGACATTACCAGCTGCCTGCCTAAATTCTCAATCCATTCAAACCAAACACCTTTATACAAAATAACAAGTGTCATGACATAGCCTATGTTCAGGTGACAAAGCCGATGATCCTCAGGCATCCGGCTTGGTTTGTGATGCCTAGGAGCTTGCTCCGATCTGGAGAGGGCAGTGGGGACTGTCTGGCTGCCTCTCACCCGCTGATGGATTCTTACTGCTGGGAGACCATTTGTGCTGAGCCCATTCCTTCATACTAAGCCTTCAGAGATTTTAGTAACAGATGAGGATTTCTGATACTTCCTTAGATACTCTCTGGCCCTTCCTACCCTGCTCACAGAAGCCAAAGATGGAAAGTCATCTTTGTTCCTGTATCCCTGGCCTCGCCCTTCTTGGTGTGCTCCTTCTTCATATGAGCTACTTTAATGCATGATATTTTATGTTGTGCCCTGTTGTATTCTGACACAGAAGAACAGTGCCACAATCCTCCTCTGTGCCTAAAACATAGTAGAATGTGTAGCAATTAGGGGATAAAACGATAATGACATCACTCCAGAGTCTTT